TTTTATTCTAATTTTTCATCGTTATTAGTTTTTGATCACAATTATCACTATTACTTCTTATCATTACTTCATAATACTATCATTATTATCGTCGCTATTATTCTCTTTTTATTCTTATTATTGTTATTGCTGAAAGTGTGTAGTTCTTTGCTTATCCCAATACTAAATCAAAATTTTTAAATCTCGAGAATACTGTAATAATAAAGTAATCCACGAATGACAACTATTAGTTCCTAAATGAGGTAAGAATTAAGTTTAAATCATTTTCAATACGCCCACTTCATTTCTCATCTATTATAATTTTTGCTTCGTATTTCTATCATACAAAAATTTCTGCTAAAATTATGACAAATTAGTTGTAAAAAAAATAATAGAATAATAAACTTTAAACTGACCGAAAAAGTTAGATAAAAGGATGGATATATATTAATAGATAGATAAATAAACGAATGGATGGAAATATTAAGAGGAAAATTGCAGAATATTCAAAACTGGCCAACTACTTCATTTTTTTTGATAGGATAATTTCCTTTAAGGATTTCAGTTGTGAAAACAAATTAGAAAATATACTTCATGAATTTATTTATATGCATATATAAAATATATATATATGCAATATATGCTGCTGTTATTTAGCAGCATTTTAAAATAGTTTGTCAATTTTTCATCCATTATTGCTTTCGGAAGCGATAGTTTATTAGATGATAAATGGATTTTCTCTCTATTATTATAAATGACTATCAGTGGTAATGTTGAAGGATAGCAATATTGATTTTTTTTTGTGAAGAATACAAAGTTATTCAGTTTTAAGTGTGTATTTTCAAAAATGAAAGAAGAAGGAATGAAACAGTAAATTTAGGAAGTTTCAATGATAGCAATAGTTGTTAAGGATAATAGTAAATGAGCTGATAAATGATGGAATGGATTGATTTATCGATGAATACAAAATAATATCACTAAAAGCTAATTTTTTATTTCTAACCTTATATGTGAATTGTAAAGTTTTAGATGTAATTAATAGAATTCGTATTTTTTGTGAAAATATTTCGATCGATCTAAAATTATATTTTCAACATTTAATTGAATGTTTAATTTTTGTAATTTAATTAATCAAATTTTCTAATTTGATTTCAAATATTTCAAAATATTATACAAAAATTTAATTCAATAAATTTTTTGGAATTTTTTTTAAAATTTTTGCATTTTTAACAAAAAGTAATTGATACTTCAATGTTTTATTATAATTTCATATTAAATTCCTTCTCTCTTTCTCTCTCTCTCTCTCTCTCTCTTCTTATTCCTTTTCTTTCTTATTGAAAAATTATGACATTTGCGCACAATATGAAAGTACATAACGAAATATTACTATTTTGTAAGAATGATATAATTCAAATTTACCTTAAAATGATCACATAACGTTGAAAGATAGCAATATTGATTGATTAACTTTGGTTTGTGTTCTTTTTGAAACAAAAGAGATAAAAAATATATTTGCTTTTCATTTTGCCTATTTGCCTATAATGTGAAAAGTCTGAACAGAAAAGAAAGTGTCAATAATGTTCTCATTGAGGAAATGAATAATTTAGTGTTGTGGGTGGTAGGTTTAGAGACTGAAACCTTTATAGTCAGTCATCAGAGAATCATCTTTTTCTCATCAAAAGAAAGAAAGAAGGAAATGATCATCTGTCAATGAGACAAATAGATCCCAGTTGATTTCAATTTTCAATATCTTAAGGCCTTTTTTTTCATACCAAAAGCTATTCGTTCCCATTAAAGGCCTTTTAATATTTGCTTTTGTTCTTTTTCATCGCTCAAAAACAAAAGTAAATTCTTTCTTTTATTTAAAAATAGAAATAAAATTCTTTTTTTTTGCTGAAAATAAATATTAAGCAATCATTAAATATTAATTAATTATTAAATATTTAAATTAATTATTGAATATTTAAATATTGGCTTATTACCTAAACATTATTGATTAATTATTAACTATAAGAAATTTATATATTAATCAATTAAGAAATGAATATTTAAGCATTAAAACAGAAATTAATATGCTGTCAAGAATGCAAGAAAATTTTGTTGTTTGTTGTTATTATTGTGGCAAATCTTTTATTCTCTTGCAACAAGCACTGAAATATTTATTATTGAAATTAGAAATGAAAGAGAGAGAGAGGGAGAGGGTAAGAAAGGAAGAAAAGAGAGAAGGTTAAGAATGAAATTTGAAAGAAAATCAAATTATAATAAATTTTTGATTATTTGCAAAAAATCAATAAAGAGAAAATTAAATCACTAATAATAATTAAAGATAAAATAAAGGAGACAAAATTAAAAGTGTCAGTAACAGAAGAAGCATTCTTCAACGATCACCTTAGCATGAAATGAAAATTCATTTAAGAATCATTATGTGTCCTATTTAGCAGCACCTCATTATCTTGAAATTAATCCTTAAATTAAGGAATATAAGAAAAAGTGAAAAATGTTTTCTACATATTGAAAAAGATATATACCTGCTAAATATATCAGTATTGATTGATATATGTATTTGTTCGTGCCAATTACAAATGTATTTTATAATACTTACAATATTAAATAGATTTGGATTGGTTGAAAAAAATTGAATATAATAATATGATTTTTTTTTTCAATTTACTACAAATTAAAAATTATAATTAATTTGCAGCTAATTAATTATTGCATAAATGACTTAGCAATTAGCTGGCAATTAATAAGACAGAAATTTACTTTTCTATTTCTTAAATTACAGATTTTTAAATTTTACTGAAATAAATTAAATCTTCTAAAAATGAAAAAATAAAATTTTATTAATTAAATAATTGAATTTGACCATAGCTAATATATTTATTTATTTTTCTTTTAATTTAATTAATCATTCTTATCATTATCACTCTTTGATATAATTTATTTCTGTAATTTGTATTATGTAACAACAACGATAAAACAGAAACAAAAAAATACTTCACTAATATCGCAAAAGTAGGAAGAAACTGTTATATGATATAATCCAAAATAAAATTTATATATTAAAATGATATTAATAATAAGATAATAGTAATGATACTAATAACATTAATAATTAGCATCATACGACAAATATTGCACAAAGAAAATACAACGAATTTTTTAAAATATATAATACAGCTATATATACATATAGTTAAGTATATCTATGCCAAAATATATATACAAGATATCTTTTTATTATAATTATTTTCAAAATTGTTTAAAAATTAATTATCTTGCAAAATTTTAGCAATTTTTTGTCATTGTACTGATTTTTTTAGGATGATATAATTGAAAAATGATATAATAATATTTTTAGTAATAAAATATATTTTCATTTCCTAAATGAAAATGTTTGATTAAACATTTCTGTTATCAACAAATATAGATTCCTGTTATTTTTATCATTTGAAATTTGCAAACTGTTTTTTATTTTATTCTAATCGATCCGTTTTTTGATTAATTTTATGTGTGACAAATAAATGAGGATTATAGAAGTATGTGTGTGTGTCTGTTATATAGAAATATGTGTCTGTCTGTGTGTGTTATATAGAACTATGTGTGTGTGTGTGTGTGTGTTAACAATCATTTATCATAGATTATAGTTGAAATAAAGATAATAATGAGAAGAGAAAGTTTTATTTAAACATTTAAAGCAAACAATAATAATACAACGAACTTTTTCATAATATAGCTAAATTTGGATAGTTTCAATTCAATCGTATCAAATGTAATATACAAAAAATGAAAGAAAAAATTATTTAAATAATAATTTATTTTATAAGTGAACAAATTTCAAACATTCATTTCATTACAAATCGTAATAATATAATATAATGTCATTGTCTTTCCATCCGTTCATTATCATTGTTTTTGTTTCTTTTCATTATACAATACCTGGTTAGTTAATTAATGTTATAATTAAGTAAAGTTTAAGATAATAAACTGTAAATAATAATTTAATGTTTAATAAGTTTCTTTTCCTAAGAGATAATAATTTTTATTAAGTAAAAAAAAGAATTCCTTTTCAAAATATTGAATATTAATATGCACTGCTATTAACTAATAATATTTCTTAGCTTAATATCATTTAGTTTTATCATAATTTTAATAATATACAGTACTTTAACTACTATTAATTAGTTTAACATCATTTACTTTTATCGTAATTTTTTCATTCGTTTTTTGTCAAAATTAAATTTAGATTGTATAAATTGGACATCAGAAAGATGTGAATATGGTATGATATGCTTTTTAAATTTATGCTATCCGTCAAATGGCCGTATGTTTTATATTTTTACAATAAAGTAAAAATAATAAATAAACATTGAAATTATAATAATATAAATGTAAATTAAGCGAGGCTGTCTTCTGTAGCTTAAAAATTTATTATGAATTATAAATAAATAAATAAAAATTTTTTAAAATTATTTTAGAAATTTTTTTTGACAATATTTTGGAACAAACTATATCATATAATTAACATTATATCAAACAGAGGAAATTTGCATCAGTGGGATAAAGGATAAGATAAAATGATGTTACCGTAGTTCACTTCAATCAAAATAGTTTTATCAGTATAAATTTATCAATTTATCAGTTCAATTAAACCAATGTTAGTGTAATATAATGAAGTATGTAATACAGTAATGCGATAATATCAGAGGTGGAATTTACACATTTTTTTCTTCTGCAATAACAATTTAATAGTTGAATAATATCATGCGAAATTAACTATACCATCAAAGTATTGATCAAAGATTAACCGATTATGCATTTGATCAAACAAAATGAACTCCGGATGATATGATTTCCCAGAAAGGAACTAGTAACACTTCTGAAGAACATACTAATAACACAATCAGCAGAGATTGCTTTGAATATCAAAACCAGTGATGATAAATTAAATTTTTCAATGACAAATCGACCAAATGTGATAACATTTGATTTGCAGAAATTTCGAAATTAATTTTAATTTATCATTGCAATTTTTTAGTTTGCGCTGATGGTAAATGTAATGATGGATTCATTTGCATGAATGTTACATGTCTAAATATTAATGCGCCATCAACTTCGGCAACTTTATCAACTTCGGCAATTTCAACAACTTCGGCAACTTTATCAACTTCGGTAACTTTGGCAACTTTATCAACTTCAGAAACTTCGACAACTTCGGCAACTTTATCAACTTCAGAAACTTCGTCAACTTCGATAACTTCACCAACTACAACTGAAAGTAACAAATTTATTTTATTATGAAAAATATCGCTTATTTTGCTTAAATATTATTTTTGCTAAAATGAAATTCTTTTACTAAATGCTGATATAATTAGAAACCTTTGTAAAGCTTAAGAAGAATCGATAACTTTAATCGTTGATTCTCCGTCATTGGTATAACGTTTTCTTTATTTTAATTTCTTCCTAATTTGCGATTCTTTTTTTAGTTCCATTCTTGATTTTTAAATGCTTTTAATTATTAAGTGTATGTGATTGTAGGCTTTAACTTTTCCATCAGAAGTAATCGAGCATGCGTATTGATAATGACTTTTATCGAAAGTTTTATTTTTGTTAAATTTTAAATTTTAATATTACTAAATTTATTTTCAATTAAATAAGAATAATAAAATTTTAGTACTAACAACGACAACATTATCAACAACAACCACACAAAAATGTAAGGATCGCAATGTAGCAGGTCGACCTAGTGATTGTCCACGAGCAAAATATTTATGCAGCGATCCTATATATTATGATTTAATGACAGAGCAATGTCCACGTACATGTAATCGTTGTCCGGGTACTGATTTCAGTCCAAGGCCAGGTATTTTAAGGCCACCATTTCCATGAGAATGTAGTGTATATATAAAATCATTACAGAGGTTTAAACTTATTGAATGTTAAATAAAAAATTGCTAAATTAGATAAATTAATAAAGTACAGTAATTGATAATTAAATTAAATGAAGGAATTAAAATAAAAACTTACTTAAATAAGGGCCAAATGTTAAGCAATAAATATTTGCTAATGCTGATAATATTTTGCTGTAATCATATTCATTTATCAGTTAATTAAGAATTAAACTAATTCAGAGAAAAAAGCCTATTGATTTAATTAATGGTAACTTTCAGATTGCTCCGATCGAACTGCAGAAGATGGTACATCAAATTGTCGTTCCGTTGCATATTTATGTCAAGATGCTTTATACCAAGAGCTTATGAAAGAGCAATGTCCTAAAACTTGCAAATATTGTTAAATGATTTTTAATCAGATAAGATATGGAGCACATTTAATTATTTTAAACTTATTAATAATATATGGAACACATTTAATTATTTTAAACTTATTAATAATATATGGAACACATTTAATTATTTTAACTTATTAATAATAATTCTATAAAATAGAATATTCGATGGAAAATAATGGTAAATTAATTTTATGATCAAATAAAATAATTGTACTGTTTGTGTTGCATACTGTTATGCCATATATAATACGTTAAACGAACAATTCATACTATAACAATTCATACGGTATATTTGAAATATTTCAATCAATACAAGAAAAGACAGAAATAGATCTAAGAATTTGAAATTAATATAAAAATAGATTTGAATATATTAAATTATAATAGTTCTGAAACTTTCAAAAATAAAACAGGAAGGTTTTAATTCAAAATATAAATTAGTTTTGATTGATTTAATCAATGCAACGATAGATTTGACGATTTTAAAATAAGGCAAAGATAGATGTAAAGGCCTTAAATTGTTGTTTAACCTATAAAGTTCAACAACATGTATCAGACAATGCATATATCATTTCTATTTGTACTGAATATGTTTATGCTTAAAATATCGTATGATGAATAATTTCAGTGTATTTTTGCAGAAATATTAAATAAAGAGTAAATTATTCATATGTAATAATAATAATTAATGATAGTAACAATAAATAATAATAATGAATAATAATAATAATTGTAATAATAAATAATAGTAATAAAAAAATAATAGTAACAATAATAACAATTAATAACAATAAAGAATAATAATATTAATAATAATAATAAATATAGTAATAAAAATAATAATAATCGTAATAATAATAATTAATCATAATAATAATAGTAATAATAGTAATAAATGTAACAACACTATATGATATCACACTTTTAATCGATCGGCAGTATTTGTTGGAGGGAAAAGGTCAACAGTCAATATTTAAAAAATCGATAAAAAATTATAAAAATAATAGAATTGTTGTAATTTTCGAATGACATAATCGAAAGAAAACATTTACTAGGCATAGAAAGAAGAAAACAATACAATTATAATAATTATGCAAATTTGAAGTTAATCTTCTAAGGTATTTTATATATATGCAAATAGTCAGTGCGGAAGAGTGTGACCAGCAAAAGAATCTAGTGAGAATGATATGGACAATGGTTATTCCTATTTGATTACATTGTTCATATCAATTATTCTTTTCTTCTTTTCATTACTATGCAATTATGTTCAACCTTTTCAATATTTATTTTAATTATTTAGCATCTTTTTATCTAAAAGTTGCATTGGCTATGTTTTAGATAATTTCTCAGCTTATTAAATCATTCATTCATTATAACCTTTGACCTCTCATTAAAATAATTAACGCTTTATAATTATTCATTATATCATTCATTAAAAAGTTGAAGTATATACTATCCATTCATTTCTCTTATTCTCTTCTTCTCTTTTCTTTTTCTTATAAAAGATATATGAATGAAAAAAAAAGAGTATCTGTGAAAATTTGCATAACAGACAAGATTCATTACGATAAATACTCTTCAACAGCTTCTTCACAATCATTTATATCGCAAAATATATTTCTTTTTTTCGTTTTCCATATTTTCAAGAATTGTGTGAGTGAAATAATTAATATGGAACAGGTATGTGTGATATGATAAAAGTTAAAGTATTTTATACCAGCTATTCGTAAAATCTTTATTGTTTTTGTAATGTTGTAATTTTTAAATGAAATAATTTAATTATAGTAAGCTTAAATAGTGGCAATATAACAGTGGCATTATTTTTATCGGATTATTAATTAATTAAGATTATTAATTAATTAAATTATTATTAATCAAATTAAATTAATTAAATTATAAATTATAAATTATTAAATTAAATTATTAATTAATTAAATAATTAAATTAAATTTTATCGGATTAATTAATTAAAATTTTATCGGGAATTAATTAAAATTAAAGTGTTGAAAATGTTTATAATTAATTTTTTAAATTACATAAGTTTATGTTTTATAAATTGTTGAAATGAATTTCAGTTAAATTAAAACATTTCTATTTTATTTATTTATTTTCTTCTTTCTTTAATGCAAAATGAACAAGCAATATTCTTTTTTAAAAAATTGAATGATTTGTTTATTTTAGATAGTAATGGATACGATAGAAAGAGGCTTGAAACTTAACGATGAAATAGTTATCACCGAAAATATTTCTCCTCGGAATAGTTACATTGCTTCTAAAATTGATGGAAACTGTGATAGTGTAAAATATGATTTAAATTATAAAAAAACTAAAATTGATGAAAGTCATATGCCAATACAACTACGTGGAAAATTGTGGATATTTAAAAAAGCAATTGGAGAAGGTAAATTGATTTTAACCATATTTTCATCAATTTTTCATATTCTAATAATTCTTATCACTATTTACAATTTAATGATAAAATGGGTGTTATTCACAATATGATAGCAATATCGTAGGAAAAAAGATAATATTGTCAGTAATTAAAAAGTTTATCATATTATCAGTATTTTTTTAAAGTCTATTAAAATATTGCCAGTAATTAAAAGGCCTAAGAAGTGGTAACGATTCTGTAATGACTAATTAAATAATTTAGTAACAAAAAGGGATAATATTTTTTAAAATAAGAAATATATTTAAAACAAAAGCGTAAAAATTGAGTTATAAATTAGAATTATATTAATATTTCAATTTCTAATTTATAATAAATTTTGTGATGCAAAGTTTTTCTTCAACAAGCTGGAAGCAAAACTTTAATGAAAAATTATATTGGATTGTATCAAATTCAAATGAGTGATAATTGCTTGTTGCCAATTTGTATCTTTCTTTTCTTCTTGCAGAATAAATCTGAGTGAAATTTTATCGTTAAAAATTTCTTCTCTCCCTTTTTCGATTTTGTTTTTATTATTTCATTTAATTTGCAGGGACTAATTTCAAAACATATCTGGCAACAAGTAATAATGGAGAAATATTTGCAATTCGAAAAAATCGTAAACAAGATCAAAGTACAAAAATTTATGAAATTGATGAAAAAGCTCAGAAAGAAATTGCTAATTTAATGAAATTGCAAATAGAATTGGTAATTTAATATTTAATAATTTTAATTAATTTCATATTTAACAATTATAGTTCATTTAAAAATTTTTGATTTATAATTGAATAAATAATTAATTATTTATGCAATAAATAATTATTTAGTAATAATGGATAAAATAATATTTAGGATGAAAAAAAGGAATGAATAATCATTTAGGATTTGGAAATGAAAAAACTTATCGGTGAACATTCAAATATTACCGCACTGATCGGTTTTCGTCAAGTGGGTCTCTGTTGGGAACAGTTTATGGAATATGTTAATGGTGGATCGCTTTTTGATTATATAAATGAGAATTACATCAAAAGTATATTTTGCAATAATTTATAGTTTAATAATTCTTAATTAATAATTTAAAAAACTTCCTTTATTTTAATTTTAATGTTTTTGACATAATTTCAGAATATACATATGTATATATATATTTGGTTTAATTAACTTTTAATTGTAGAAAATCGATTATTAGAAGTTGAAAAAGCGCAATTATTCTTTAATGATCTGTTAAAGGCAGTGGAACATATTCACAGTCTAAGAATTGCACACATGGACATCAAACTCGAAAATTGTCTCATTACAAAAGATGGTATAATTTAATTTAAATTGATAAGTTTTCGAAAAACTCGAAATGAAATTATATCCTTATCAAATTGTTTATCATTTCATTATATCCTATTGGGATGATATCCTTTGCAACTGAGATTCTTTGCATCAATAATATGTATTTTTATTTAAATTTTTGACGCAAAAATTATTTAAATTTCAGGAATTGTGAAATTAACAGATTTTGATGAAGCAAGATATTTCATACCCAATCTTAAAGTTCCTTATCCGGTATATTTTACTTTATCATATGCTGCACCCGAAACATTTACGAAACGATACCGGTATGTATTGTTTTATCTTAATATTCATTTCGAAAAGATAGGATATTTTAATTGTTTTTAAATTTCGAATAAATTTACTACAAGATGATTTTGTGATTAAATTCAAGATTTCGAAAATTTGCATAATTTTCTTGAGTTTTGTAAGACTTCTCTTTTTTGAAGAATCCGATGAAATTAGTAAATGTGTGGAGTTATGCAAATTCCTAAAAGCTAAAATACAAAGTACTAAAATTGTTTAATTTTCATACCTACTACATTATTTATTATCAATATGCATTATTGTTTCCCAGGCCAAATTGTGCAGATATATGGGCATGCGGTATTTTCCTGTATTTTTTGCTACAAAAACGTTTTCCATGGAATATTGCAAATAGGTGATTCTTTTTAATTTTCGATTATTTGATAACAATTAATCATTAATCTCATTAATCATCACAAATTGTAAATTTTTCAAAATTGCAATCAAAACATTCTTTTTTTATTTAAAACAAAAGATTATTTTTACAGTAGAAAAGATGCAGTTTATCGAAAGTGGTCCAGAATTCATGATGAAAATGTATTGTCAATTCCGGAATGCTATGGATGTGTTTCAGGTGAATTAACAAATTTAACTCACAATTACTTCTCATTAATGTGTTGCAAATTGTGATGTTTTATTTAGTCCCAAATTGCGAAATTAATTTATTTAAAAAATGCCAGCAATTTCTTGTTATTCAATTCAAATGATTACAGGGGGGAAAACAGAATAATATAAGCTTTTGAGGTGATAGGTATAATTGTGGAGAAATTCCTTTGTCATTAAATTAGTTGCAAATTGAATTTAGTGACAAAGGAATTTCAACTACTAGCTTGGTTCTTATAACTATTAGCTTTTTGCAAACAACTAGCTTGGTTCTTATAACTATTAGCTTTTTGCAAACAACTAGCTTGGTTCTTATAACTATTAGCTTTTTGCAAACAACTAGCTTGGTTTGTTAAAACAGTGAATGCAGAAAAAAGATTAAAATTAACCTATCTATTTTTTAGTTGAAAATAATTCAGGTTAATAAAAATGCTTTTCTTTGTAGATCTTCTGATGAAGATTTTAAATGTGAAAGTAGAAGAAAGAGCTACACTGGAAGAAATTCGAATGCATCCATGGTTACAAAACAAAACAAAATATTGAAAAGTTATTTAAAGGAAAGGAAAACGAGTTTAGGAAAATGAATTTTATCTGTATTAATAATTTGTGATTTGTTGGAAATGATAATGATTACGGCCTTTCCTACAAGTTTTTAGCTTAATTTATTTATTCATTTGTTTTTTTAAATATTTCATTTGCTATGAACTATTTCCAACGTTTCTGTTTATTTTCCATTTCTTGCATTTCTAATTTATTGATACCTTTTTTTTGCATGATAAGTGATAATAAAATTTTGGTGAAATCATCGCTTCAATCATATAAATAGTATTGAAGAACTGATCAAATGGATATTGATAATGATTATTAATGATTTTCTCCAGGAATTCAATTATATTCATACATCTATGTTCGTAGTTTGAATATGCCCAAGAAATTATTTTACATAAATATTAATCAAACAATGAAATAAATATGATACGTTAAAGTATATAAATGAAATAATCATTAATCATCAATATTTTTAAAAAACTGCCAAGTATTAGATAAGATATAAACAAACAACACCTGGTAATAAGAATCTATTTTATATTTGTTAACCTAGTTCAGATGAGGTTTAACTTAATTCAGTTAGTTGTAAAAAATCATCTTATATCATCATATTCGGGTTTAGAAATTTGCGTATCAATTTATACGTAAAATGATCGAACAAATAATAAACATATAACAAAACGGAAAAGAAATTTTTGAAACAGAAAAAATAGTAATGTATGCAAATATTGCCAGTATACTTTGAAGATATTAAGAAATAACCAAAAAAGCGATAATTTATAAAATTTATTTTCCTAATTTGAGTAAATAACAATTAATCAAAATCAGTAATTGAAACGACATCCATCACATTCTTATCAATTTTAACACTATTTCCGGCTTTTTAATTATTAAATGCTGTAATTGTAACAGTAACTTGAAAGCAGGAAAAAATTTATAAATTACCTTTTGCAACGTGCAAAAGGTAATTTACAAATAATATTCAATAAAGTTAAAGTTTTTAAAATAATCTTGAAAATTTTCATATATGCAAAAATGACTATTTGAAATTAGTCCGTTTGCTATTTATTATCATTTCTGAAGGATATTCCGGTTGCTTCAAACAGCGCGTGTGTGTGCGTGGCAATATCACTTTCGCTTGGAGCGATTTTTTCCTTCCAATATTTTATTTAGTGAAAATTCTCGTTTATATATTTCTTAAAACTTTCAAAATTTTTTCCTTAATAACTGTTTGCAGGTAATTTTGTTTGCAGGTATTATTTGCCAGTAACTATTGTTCTAAGAAAAAAAAAGAAATTAGGAGAGTTTGTAATAAAATCTTTTCTTTAATATTTTTTCTGAAAATTTGCAAATTTTCCAAACAAAATTTCTCTTCCTATTTCATATATGTTGAAGAAATCATTGTGAATGAAAAATTTCAGAAAAATTTTGAGTATCTTCACCTGATTAGCAACACTCATTGACTTCTTGGAAGTGCTAAAAATGCTACGATTGAATTCAGCGAATCAGGAAGACGAAAGACGAAGATCACGGATTGGTAGTCAATTACCCGAAGAATTCTACGATTACCTTGATAAACAAGGTTAGAACTTATTTTTAAATAAATGAGATACAAATTTACAATTTTCAATGGGAATCGAACTTGGAATCGGAATTAATACCGGAAATAGATATTATTTTCGTAATCTTTGACCTGAAAACTAAAAGGAATTTGATTTATGACAAAGGCAGAAATAGTTTTGGAAAGTGGAAATTTATATTGTGTTTGCAACGAAAAGTGTCATATGAATAGGGAGAATTTACTTTCCTTTAGCATTTATTGATCATACCTATTCGAACTACTGCGACTCCTGCTGTTTTCCTGATCCTTAACTTCTGCGTATTGGACAATCTGAGCAGCTTTTTCTGAATGCTGATAATGTCGTGAAAATATTTATTTAAGTATTTGTTGAAAGTTTAATAAACTTCAACAATCTTATAAGATTGTTGAAGTTTATTCTTGATAGATGAACTTATTCTTTCTGCCGATATAAGGCAGTAATTAAAAGATACCGAAGGTAGGAAAGATTAGACCGTTGGTTTCGGAGCAGTAAGTTACATTGAAATACGCTCCTTTCCAGTTTGACAGTGCTCGGCGAGCAATGTTTATAGTAAATAATCAATTAGTCATCTTGCAGATCAAACTAACCGTGCCATGGGGTCATTGATATAAGAGTTGATCGTAACAAAAATGTTATTTAACAAAATGAAACCGATAGTAAACAAGAGGTCATTGGATATAAATTAGTGGCATTGTTTGCAGTAGATGAACAATAAAACTGACATCAATAAGAAATTGCTTAAATTTGCAATGAGTTAGGCCGACGGTATAGAAAATTATTTGATATTAATAATTGACAATATTCCTTAGAATAATGAATTTAGATATTAAACAAAATAACTATCGAATCATTTCAGTGAGAATATTTGAGATAAAGGATTTTTATAGCATAAACAACAAGAACATAAAGATACATTGATTATTTAAACATTTTTATATTATAAAGTTATTTCGGTTTCCGACAGACAGATTTTGGTCCGTAAAAAAATGACGTTGCGATAGAAAACGATTTTGGGAAAAGATTTTAGGATTGGTAGAAAGGTTTAAGGCATGACAGTGTGTAATAAATTAGGAAGGTATTGAAAAATAGCTATAACAAATATGATCTTCCAGTCGGAGTAAAAGTAAGTACAAGGATGGAGAATTGAGGAAGATGAAAATTTGCGACATATAATGAGATGAAAGGGAAAGAGAGAGTGAGAAGGTAACAAAGTAGTCATAGATACAACGTTTTAGAGGAGATTGGTAGGATGTGTGAGAAAGAAATTTTCATTTTCATTTTCAATGAATAATTTGTTTGAAGGCTGACAGGAGAGTTAATATCACGGGTATAAAGAGGAAAAAAAGTTAGAGAGAAAGGTTAGTGATAAGATGACATGTGAATCGAATTAGGGAAGTTATTGGGTATTTTACTGGATTGCAAATTATACACCTGCCACGGTGTCCTATTTCCAATGGATCATAACTGAAGTTAATTACGACCAATACCAAAGTTTTTTTTAGTATGTAAAATCTAGCTTGATCATTTTTTTCAGATTTGATACGTAAGGATCGTTTCCTGAAGCGTTTCGGTAAACGATTACTTGCTGCCCTCAGGCAACCGTTGCTGAGACGTAATCGATCAAACCTGACGCTATTAGATTCCGACACTGATTCGAATTTCGCACTGATTGTAACCCCAAAACGTGCAATTTCACTACTTAGTCAGCGAGCATTATTGTCGAGAAAGGTATTAAGATATTTTTGGTATCTTTTTGATTAAACTTATGTGCTTCTAATTGTCGATTTCATTAATGATTGATATCAGTCGATTGTTGAACGGAACGATTTAACAAATCATGCGTTCATTGATAGTTTAAGATTTACGTACGTAAAATATTCAGTACTGAATAACGAAAGAATAGAATAGGTCGTTATTGAAGGGTCATAAATTAATGAACGGTCGTGTTAATATTTAAATCTCGCCATAATACAAGCGTCAGTAGTGGCAAATTCGTTAGTACGATGTTTAGATTGCAATAAGTTTGGTTCTCATCCCTTAGAAGTAAGGAATTCTTGGTAGTATGAATATTGATCTTGGGAAAGATTTGATAGATCATAGTTTCAACTGTAACGCATATTGTAAGTGATTGCAGTTAAATCCAAATAATGATGGGACAGAACCAAACTGATAGTTGCAATCCTTATATACATCATCCACACAGTTATGAGTAATTTTGCAGAACTTTATAGATTTGAATAGTTGCATAAATCGTTTGTTCTTTTCAGAGCAATCCAAATCGAGAAATTTCCTATATGAAAGATTCGGAATTGACTAATGGACTTTTGGAGGAAGTAAGCTTTTAGTACTTGTAATTTGCATTTTTTTGTAGATTGGCATAGTTGGATAATGGGATTGAAAGGACAGGAAGAGAATTTAATCAGAACGAAAAAAGAGACAGAGTGGAAAATAAGATTGCTTACTTGACTTTGATATATAATTATATTGTATTAGCGTGCTGAAAAAGGTGATGACATATTATTACACGGTGAAGGAATGGCAATAATAAAATTGGAAAAGGAAAATGGTGGTATGTTGGATTTCCAAATTTTGATTTTTTGAATTTATCCTTGCCGATAATTGAATGTATTCGTTTTATAATCCGCATGAGTTTCGAAAATTGTGACTTGAAAACATCGCTATAATTTCTTATACTATTGATATTTTATAATAAACTTCGTTTTATAATCCGCATGGGTTGCGAAAATTGTGACTTGCAACATTGGTTACAGTTCAGTCAGGGATGATATAAGATTACGATGTTCAGCCTCACGCAGAGCCCTCATTACGTAAATTAGTAGATTTGGTATGTGTATTAGAATTTTTGTCGCAATGCATACAGCTTAGTCTGGGAAATCTAGAACTTGGTCTCAATATTGTTGGCGGTATCGACCAGGAATACATCCCGGGAGATCCTAGCATATTCATTTCAAAGATACAAAATGGTGGTTCAGCTTGGCGTGATAGAAGACTGAGGATCGGCGATCGTATCATATCGGTGATTTTTAAATTTGAAAAGTTGGGAAAATATTTTCTTTACTTATCTTGGTTTTGGAATTTAAGGCATAATACTTTGCAGGTGAATGGTGAACTACTTGCTGGTAAAACACACGATGAAGTTGTACAGATTTTTCACAATACTAAGAGCAGTGCAGTACTCATGATCGAACAGGATGCTGAATCACGAGTTTTGAATGTAAGATTTTCTTTTAGTCCAAGGATTTCTTTGGTTTGCAAATTTTTTAATCCGGATTTATTTTAAATATGAGCTTCGCGAATTTTATCTGTTCAGTTTCATATTTCCTCGTTTGTCAAATAATTTATTCAGTCCTAAGGATCTAATGAAGTCCGTATTAGAATCGGCTTATAGCGTGCAACATACATACTGAAATGTTAAGTGACATTATCTAGTGTAAAGTCATGCTTCATCAAATGTAACATGTTGGTAATGCTAGCAGCTAATTATCGTTTCAAAGTTAGAACAGTTTCTGAACTTTTTTCCACTGATTCCTTATCAATATTTTGTTGTTTAATTCTTTCACGAAAATTTTTGCATTATAAAGGTAGTCGGAGGAAGTCTGCGAAAAACTAATTTTATTAGTGGTTACAGCATTAAAGAAATATCGTTAACAATCATTTCTTTCAGAATTTCATATAACTTAACTTTATTAAGCCGCAATCGATACTCCAAAGATATTCCTGCAACTTATGCTTGCTGTTTTATTCTGTTGCAAAGTATCATAACTTTTTTTGTTTTTGCAGCCATGCTTAAGTTTCTATATTTTAGGATTGTGGCTAAAATCAATTCTCTATTCGTTTGCAGTGAAGTCAGACATTATTAGGATGAGGTTATAGAAGGCTTTTGTTTAAATCTCCCTGGAAGGCCTCTGTTGATGTATCCTGAAATTTAGACTTAGCTGTCAAAACACTGGAAATCCGCGTAGATTTTCTATTTTCTTTTCCCACTCTAGGGTTTTTCGTTTCAGATAGATTATTTATAACTTTCGGTTTAATCTTCAAAATCGATTTCGACCTTTTTTTTGTAATCAACATATTACTTGAAGCCAATTATGCCTTCCTAACTGATCTTAATTTATTTATGATGTTACTGTTGAGAGGTCTGTGTCTTCCATGTTACATGCCATCTTTTAATTGCACATTGAGATTTATTCGATTGACATGGAAATGGAAGAATTTTAGGCTAACAGAATTACGGATCCTTTTCAATCGGTTCAAGTATAAAACTGTTTGGAATATTACACAAGTAATATTTATTTCTTGTAACATGTGAAAGTCTTATGGCAAGGATGCTTAATAAAGGATTCCATCCAAACTATTTCATTTCAAATAATGAAGAAGAGAGAACTAGATTTGACTTCGACATAATTATTTTTCTTGCCTAAAGCTTTATACCTGTTAATTTTTTCAAATTTTTGGAGTGAAAACCTCGCTTAGAATCTTCAGGGAAGAATTTTAGTTTATGCATACCTCGTTCTGCTTTCTGTTTTTTTTACACTGCAATCATCAAGCAGCAGCTGTTAGAAGAAGATTAATAGTTGTTGTTTGCTATCTATTTTCAAAATCATAGCTAACGTCTACGCTTGTCATGATATGTCATAAGTAATTCGATGATTAATTCATACTAACAACTTTTAACTTTTGGAAATTCATTCATTAGGAAATTTTTCGTTTGTTAATCATTTATTTTAATTATATTCTGACCCAGTTACACGAACTTGTCGATTTCGATTACTTAGGGACAAGTGATGTAATTTGAAACCTTATTTAAGGGTTTTTGAGTTTTATTCATATTTTAATGCAAAGTGCTAGAAGGTATATTGAAAACATCAGCTAATATTAAAGTATCAAAAAGAGAAAATCAAACGCGCAAAACTATTCGATCTTGTAGTACGTGCGATCATACCTTTGACTATGTGCGACTATGATTAGGATTCGATCCTTATAAAAAAGATGGCAAATATTTTACACTGTAAACTTCTATTTAAGGAGAAGTTCCATAAAACATTCTGCAAATTCTATTTATTTTTGTTTTAGCACGGATGACATAATTGTCCTGATAATTATCTCACCTTAAGACACTTTGTTTTGTCTCTCTGAATCTTATTTATCGGCGTTTGTATTCATTATAGTTTTCGAAATATTAATTGATTTATTACACTTTATTCCTGCGTTTTCCATTTTTTTATCTTATTCGATTCCGATTTATTTCGTCCTCATCTTCTATATTTCAGTAATTTAATTCGTTTAATATTCATTTATCTACAATTTCTAATTGTCATTAACTTTTTTCTCAGCGACTTACTTGATTTTAATTTGATTGTTAGGTCACTAACTAATTTAATATCGATTTTTAATAATTTATCATAGCTCAGTAAAAAAATGCAAATAATTTATTTCTTGTTTTCTTCGCTGAATCATTGTGTTTTTGAGTTTTAAGTGATTTACTAAAGGGTAAAAATGATTCATAAGAAAGTTGCGGATTATCAACATTATTTTCTTCACTTTAGAGACCAACGGAACTGTCGGGTGTCGTAAATTCTGACGAACTTTCGGGCGGCGTAAATTCTGACGAGAATACATCATTATCAAGAAGTGACAATAGGAGTTTGTTCCCTAAACACCTTGTAAGTATGTCGTCCAAACCTGCGAATACGTTCGTACCGCGAATCATGTCAGAATCAACTAAAGTGGAGAAGAAAAATGCATTGTCACCAGTTAATGATGGTAATGAACACTTCGAATTCGATATTAAAGATTTGTATATTTCTGTGTTTTTAAGTTTCTGTTTTTCTTTGCGCAGTGATTCTTATCGTGAATTTATTTCTTTCTTTTGAGTACTTTGATTTATTTCATTTAGTTTCTTTTGTCTTTTCATGCTAACGGAAGATTATTTAATAATGTTCTGTTTTCAGTGGTATATTTGGCATCCAGTTCTACAAATGGTAATTACGTAGATGATAAACGCATGAAGAAAAATAAAGCAGAAAGCCGAAATGAAATAAATTCGGTAGATCATGAAGGAATGTTAGAAATGTCAGTTACAACAGCATCACCATTTACGCGTTAGTTCTTATTTTTGATTTATTTATTTTTTTTATTTCTAAATTCCAAAAATATTTCAGGCTTTGTGAAAATTTGTCTCCTTTCGTCTTTAAGTTTATCTACGTCTGAACTTTAATTTTAGATATACCATCCATCCAGTTTGCCTTATTTTATAATCCATCTATGAAAAGTTACATTTTTTTCTCTTATTTAAAATTCGTAATCAAGATTTTATGCTTCATTCTTGAAATCCACTCAACGGTTATTGTATCTATTATTTCTTTCTTTAGTATCAATTTTTTTCCAGTCTCTTTCAAACTATTAAACTATTAACTTTACGGAGGCCACTGTAAAATAATGACACCTGCTTCGAGGAAGCATTCCCTACGATTGTGGCCCTTCTTGATATATTTTATTTATTCTTTGTCAAATAACCGGTTTTTTTTAACTAAAAGTACCATAGTTATGTATTTTTGTTCGAGTATTTCATACCATTTGAGAAGGACAAGAAGGAAAAGAAGAAAGCAGGTTTAGATAGCGAAACAGCTGCAAATTAATGTGATCGAATGTAAGGATATCTATTTGCTGCTATTAAAATATATCATTTTTCAATGTTGGATGTTCATCTGCCATTAAAAAATCAATGGTTTCATCACAAAATATATTCCTATAAATTTAAATGCTTAGAATTTCAAAGCAATTTTAGCTATTCAATCGTTTAATTCAGTCTTAAATTTTTATATTCGTTCCAAAATTTTTATTGAATTATAATACTCGTCGTATCGAATGTTAAATTCAATTTAATTAATTTATTTGGTTTTCGAAGAAATTTGTAATTTTCCAAAATTCAAAGTAAATTTAAGTAAGTTATTTTTATTGAAATATTGTGAGTCTCTTGCGAAAATATAGAATTGGATGTTTAAGAAGTTCAGAGATGTTTTAAATAAAATATTGGTACTTCCGAGTTTCATAATTACATGCTCGGATCTAGTTGAAAGTGAAACATTTATATTTATTTTTTATTTTCGACAAGCCATTATTAGTCGATTTTACCCATTCTGAATGAAGAAAGCAAGTGATTTATGACTCTATAACTGTAAACTTGCTTTTTGAAACTCGTCACAATTAAAAGTTGTCAATGAAGTTGTATCAGAAAAAAAAGACATCAACTTTTCATTATTACGAAATCTTATTCTCCATTGAATTTGTTTAAATTCGTATTCAATTTAATCTTATTCTCCAGGAAGCATAAAGTAAAATAAATTATCTAAAAATAGATTGAGGGTAGGATTGAAAGATTTTAAATGGCTACTCACTTCTGAACTTATCTATTTTGCAGATTTCCCCTGTTTTCAAATTTCGGATGCTGTGTATATTTTTCCAGTTATCATTGTTTTGAGATTTTGTATTTTGTATTGTTTTGAAATTTTACTTTGTTCAAATTCGTATTCAATTTAATTCGTTTTTGTTTTTGTTTTTAGCATTGAAAGATGAAACAGCAAAGTCGATCGATGAAAGGAGCGAAGGACCCGTTTCACTGAATAGTGGTGATAATCATGGTGATGATGATTATGATTATGAAGATGAAAATTCATTAACAGCGTCTGATCATTCAAGTTCTACTATAGATGACATTCCAGTCACACCTAAAAAATCGTATAGATTGTTGGATCCTTCAAAGTAAGTAATTACTTTTAAAATATTTGAAAGACAGCAGCAATTCATGTTAGCAAGAGCAGGAAGTAAACAAACAAACTTGCAAACTGTTTATTTGGAATTCTAAAACTGTATGCGCAAGATAAAAGCTTGTATTTTTTAATCTAAAAGATATATTTTTCTTTTTTTAATTTCAGTTTTAAGCTTCAATTTCAGCACCTCTGTATTCAATGAAGTATTGGCTGTTTCGGCTGGTATCGCAGCACTGGGTGTTGGAATTTACGTTGTATATCATTTTATTAAACACCGATCTGCCCCGTGAACTTTTCATTCTATCTTGTACTGCAGTATTGAACAGTTTTCATATTCAGTGAAATAACTTAATTTCAAGAACTGATGTATATCCTATCAGTGAACCTCATCACAGTGTTGAATTTCTGCTTTGCGTAATAGTCCAATTTGGAAAAACGTATATGAAAATCAGCATTTTATCTCATTTGCAGCATCTGAAGCTCAGATGTAACAGTATTTGGCGGTGCAAGACTACACTTTTTGATATTTGCTTGCTCAATTATTTAGTGTTCAGGTTTTTTTTACTTTTTTTAATCTCTCTCTGTTCGTTGTGCAACAATATTTTGGATGAGTTTTTCTGATCTACTTCGAAATTTAGGATAGATGCAATAATTGTAATGATTTAACAAGCGATCTGTAACATTTGTTGTTCTGTTGAAACTCACTTTTGTTCTACTTTTTAATGCTATGTTTGAATTTTATTTGAATCACAAAAAATCGGTTTCTCGTAATAGATTTTTACTGACTGCATGGTTTTATTAAAATTGTGCAGACATTTTTTACGTTCTTTGCAGTAAGATTTCTACTGCAAGAACGTAAAAAAATAATGGGTAAGAACTTTTATCGGTTCATTATATTTTCACATATGAAATATTTTGAAATTCAGAAGTTTTTCTAGTACTTACTCGAATCTTGTGTCCTTTCTACTATTGATGTTGAATAAATTATGATTGTTCGAACGAATATCGTTCTCCATAAAAATTTGTTGAAGTTAGTTCAATGTTCTACATTCTTATTTTTATCATCACAGCGATTCATCGCGGTAAGGCAGTTTCATTTTTTTTTTCAATTTTTAGTCGCAGGAAAAGTTCTTTGATTAGTGAATGATATATTGGATTGTTCGATATGATAGTACTATCGGAGTCCTTTGCAAGCTTCTAGCGATATGTTGCGTTGCAAGCTCTGAAATTGTTCCTTAGGTCTCCGAAAGTGTGTTTATTTTCGAATTTTTTAAAGTACTGAGAACACAAATAGAGTCAATACATTTTGTGCATTTTTGTCGAAACCGTTCCTTTCCAGAAATGGATCAGCCAATCAGAATTCGTATACGATGACATTTAGTGTTAATGAGAGAACACTTGAGATATTTGTTATTACAAACTCGAAATATCATCGGCAAACAAGTTATCGTCCCAAGGATGATTTCTGAACCTATTACACCAATCATCCAGAAAATTGATACGCCTCAGTTTAAGGCACTTTTTACTCCCGAACTTGTCAAGCTTAATGATCTCTTCAAAACGAATAATTTTCAATTGCGGTAAATATTTCACGTTCTAACTATGATGTTTCCACATCTTGTGTGGATATCTCTGTGTTAAAGTATTTTTTACACTTTATGCTAAATTATTCTCACTTTGTGCTTCATATTGTCATCTCTAATTGATAGAAGGATAGTCAAAGTTCAAGTTATTATCTTAATCTACAAACTGTTCGGCTATCTATGCTTACGTTTCGTTACATTTGTATTCAGTGTATGTTAGTCATGGCGGTCGATGTCAATAAGAACGTATTCGATAAAACTATTTATATTAGTATGAAGATATCTGGTAGAGATTAATTTGATTGCTTAACTTGTTAAGAAAAAGAATATAACGTGTAATTTCAGTGATTTTAATCATTTTCATTTTTGTGTATTTTAAAGCTTCAAATTATATTTTTTCTATTGTCCTTTTTTTTCTTTAACCTTTTATCTTTTCTTTCTTCAGTATGGCTGGTGGTGCAGTTCGTGATCTATTAATGGGTATAAAACCATCTGATGTTGATTTTGCGACAAATGCAACACCAGATGAAATGAAGGTAAATTTGTCAATTGTCTATTATTAATGATGCCAGTTAAGAATGATTATATTTTTTTGGTATTTTACTTGTTCAGTAGTTGTATGAGATTGAATCTCTAAAAAATAATGTGGGACTTTATGATATGGGTATGATAAAGTAGCGGGAAAATTGGTTTATCAAGTTAGTAATAATGAATTTAGAATTACGAATTAACGATTGAAGATATGTGAAGCTTAGAAAAGCAATGTTGAAGGTCATACAAGATTTTATGGCGTTAATTTATCAGCTGATGCATCAAATTCTATAGTCCTAAATAATTTGATTTTAAATAAAATTGTTGCTTCAGGAATTATTTGTCCGAGAAGGTATCCGAATGTTGAATAAAAATGGTGAGGAACATGGAACGATTACTTGTCGTATCGATGATAAAGAAAATTTTGAAATTACAACTTTAAGGCTTGTGAATTCTTAATATTGTATGATTGGTTAATCTTGAGCATTACTGATTCTAACAGTAACTGTAATGTGAAGACACTCAACCATTAGTGCCTTATTTTAATGAAAACAAACTATCTTATAGTCTTTCTGGCATTCGATAGATCCTTGATTTAGAATCAAGCGATTATAATATTGCGCTAAATTTATTTTACCAGTTACCAAATTAGCTTATCAGTTACCAATGCAGGATTGATATTGTTTGTGATGGACGTCGAGCAAAGATTGAATTCACAACCAATTGGCAGCTCGATGCAAATAGGCGTGATCTGACGGTTAATTCACTTTTCTTAGGCTAGTTGTTTTATTTCTGGAACTTTTCTTGCCATACGAATTTAATTCTATGAAAAAATTCGCTTTAGTTTTCTCTTGCAAGTTTTGCTTTGACTGAAAATCCACGGTTTTTTGAAATTTCATTTGGAGAATACCATTTTTTTTAGATTTGGATGGCACCGTCATCGATTATTTCGGTGGAATAAAAGATTTGGAAAAACGGCAAATTGTTTTTGTAGGCGACGCAAATCAAAGGATTCAGGTGTTTCAGCGATTTTCAGATTTTTCTATATCTTCTGCGTAATTAAAATTTTAAGTTTATTCTTTTAATCTTTAGTGGACTATTTGATTATCAGATTATATATAATATAATATCTTTTTCTAGGAAGATTATTTGAGGATACTGCGATATTTCCGTTTTTTTGGTCGACTGGCACTAGACGATGAAGCACACGAGAAAGCAACATTGGATGCGATTATTTCGAATGGTGGTGGCCTAAAAGTCAGTTCATTTCTCTCAATTGAAATGTCATGTTAAAATTATTGTGATTTGGGATGAGAAAATTCAAGATAATTGATTGTAAAATATTTTTCAATTATAGCTCGTCATTTCATCTGCAGTATTAGAGATCACTTTTATGATCTTTCAAGCTTTTGAAACGACACTTTGCTGCAACTAATAATGATCACCAATATAGTGTAATCATTTCAGCCTCGTTCATTATGAACAATTATGCTTATTTTTCCATATTAAAATTAAATAATCCAATGATTCATTCTAAGATATTTTAAAGGGTATTTATCCATGTCTAAGGTTTCTTAACACTCATATCCAAGATTTTTTTAAAGGATATAAGTGGTGAACGAATTTGGATGGAATTGAAGAAAATTTGTGTTGGCCGTCTAGGTGGTGCAGTATTAACAACAATGCTAAAACAATGTAATCTAGCTTCTTTGTTGGGACTTCCAGAAAATGCGGATACAGCATACTTGTGCAGTTTGCACAAACGTTATTATCCCAAAATAGAAGCTATGACTTTGTTGTCGTCATTGTTCATTGAAATGGAACAAATTGAAATATTTCACAAAAGGTTATTCACTTTCTAGAATAATCCCACAAAATTTTATTTTTTGAAGGTTCCAAAAATTATTTGAGGATGAGAGAGTTATTAGAATTGTGAAGAAATTTGTTACTAAAATCAAAATCAAGCTTAAAAGTCGCCAAAACTGAATTAGCAGTTCATGTCCATGTCTCATTATCATCAGCACTTCCTCAACTATCTTCATTTCAAAAAAGTAGTAGTGCAATTTAAAATTCTAATGTAGTTTTTTACTAAGATGAACCGGAATAAAGTATTAGATTGATTGTAAAATTTGTGTAAGTTTTCAGTGGTTTATATTAATACCCAATATACAATATAGTATCACCATTGAAGATGGAATCATATATATCTCTCAATAAAATAAATTTTGCGCAAATGTAAATCTCTTTCAGATGCAAATTATCGTATGCCGAAAGAACGTTAGCCGAATTTATATTTGAACATCGTGACGGGGCAAAAAAGAATGCCAGTTCAATTTTATTTTTCAAAAATATCTTGTTGAATGAAGAACGATTGCATAAGCTTACAAGTGATTTTCTTTCTCTCATTCTAAGATTTATGAGTTTTAGGATGAATTTAAATAAAATTTATCGAAATTAGATTCTCGGATTCAACATTAAATCAATAGAGAAGAATATGAGAGTTATCTTGATTGCAGGGAAGAAAGTCCAGACAAGCCGAGAAAAAGTGATCGAATTAGCAAAATATGCAATGGTTGATGACGAAATGATTAACGAGTTGAATATTTGGAGACCGCCAATATTCCCCGTCGGCGGAGTTGACTTAATGCATAACAATATTCCACCTGGACCACATGTTAAACAGATTCTCGATCATCTTTTTAAAATATGGATCGAGGTACGTTTGTTTTAAATATTCTTTATCTATTGGAAATTAGTCAATTTTTATTTTTCAGGCATTTTGACCTTGCTAGGTTCTACATTGACGCATTTTTGCAGTAATGATTCATGTTAAAAATTTTATACTTGGAAAAATAGCCGCAACAAAGCACGATATGGCTGTCTTAAATTCTTTTTACAATTTACGACATATTTAATATTTCCAATTTATAATTTATGAAATTCATCTGAGCAAAAACCTTCGAAATTAAATAGAAATTCGTTGTAGAGTGGATGGATGATGAGCAAAGAAGAGTTGTTAACGCATGTCAATGATATCGAATGGGATGAGAAAATTCGTCCAAGGTGCAAACGAAAGCACAGCATTGGTACCAAATGATATTATGCTTGAAATGAATAAAAAGGATATGTAAATCTCGTTCTTTCTCCTCTGTCATTTTAATAAATCATCTTCTCATCCCTTGCAAATATATGAAAATCAAATTTTCGAATTGAAAAGCTTAAAAAAGACATTGAGGACGTTTAAATTTTATTTTTTATGTAGGCAAAATATTTATTACCTATAGAGGTGGAATATGCAATGTTTGGGGAGCAAACACGACACAATATATTTAAGATATATTGATATTGGGAACCACAATGTTGCTTTAAAAAGTTAGTGCTTTAAAAAGTCAAAAAAAAGTTTTTGTCATGAAGATTAGTACTGTCTGTCGGTTAATTGTCATGTAGAACAGGAGATGGAATTTCGTTCGGTTTGTTGGAATGATTTCTTACGGAGGTGTTCTCTTATAAGTTTATGGTAACTGAACTCAACGGAAAAATTTTTGTGAAGAAGGAAGTATAGTGAATAATAAACAATATCAATATAATTCCATGAGTAATTTATCGAATATCGATATGAACAAATCACAGCATCTTTCGAATCCAACTGTAGTAAAACAGTTTTTCAAAAAAATAATGTCAACAAAATCGTGAAAGCTTTCCTAAAAAATTGATTGGATAAAAGGTTACCTAGTTTTTTTTTTTAAAGACTGACTATACAGGAGAATATACCTAACGAATTGCTTTCATAATTTTCATTTTCTCTTTTGCTTGCAGCAGCGCTACACTCCTCACTGAGAATAACATTCAACAACAGATATCCTTTTAATTGAAGGAGTATTATTAGAGTGATTGTAGAAGCTTAAATCTCAATTAAGAATATCTGAATAAGTTAATAAGCAAGATGCAAATCAATTCCGTATGTATATGCTTGTTATAAAAACCAAGTCTCAAGAAAAGTGTGAAGCTCGGAAATATCAGCAAAAGAGAAAAGACCAATAAATTGTATATTCTTTTCCACATATCTCATTTCAATCGCATTGTCCAGTTGTTGTCGCATATTTTCGTAACTTCTGTAGCATTTGCTCATTTGTTGAAGGTTTGATAGCTTTCATTGCAACTTCAAAATCATGCAATGTTATTGGGCGAACTTCCGTACTGGTCAAATCCTTTATATCTTTACGAGACAGATCACGAATTGGTATCATTGCTGCTTCACGACAAAGTGCAACGAGATCGGAATTGGAATATCCATGCGTCCGCTCCGCCAAAATTCTGAAAAGCCAGAGAACACTCCATTAAACGACAAGACAAAATTTCGTATTTGTTTCATTCATAATATTTAGGAGTAGTTGGGAGCTACGACTTCTCAGTCTACATTGAGTACTAATAATATGAATCCGCAGCAATTCTAGAATTCTGACATAACCAAAGATGGAAATAAACAAAAAGTTTGATTACTTCACTGACCTATATACATCAAATTGTTAAAATTTATGACAATTCGATTCTCAAACCCATTGCTTATAAAAAATTTGAGAAAAATTTCGGTGTTTCAGTTAAAACATAATTCTTATATCGATATCCGTGCTATTTCGCCACAAAAAGGAATCATATAAATGACTACATTTGCTTTCGAACACGGTAACGGTAATAAAGAGAGTAAGAAAACAAACAAGTCAATAACTAATTTCAAAAATGACCAATAAAAATCTGTCTAGTAGGCAAAAGTGAAATTTGCTGGAAACAAGAGTAATTTAAGACTAATGAAAGTGATAGATTACTTTAATTGCAATGTGATTTCGAAGACTTACTGCCTTTGTGCAAGACCTAAATCAAACAAAGTTTTCGTTTTCTCGAGCAATAATATAATTAGTTTAAGGCGTGCTGCTGCATTTGGTACATCAATGAGAATTCGTTTCGGAAATCGGCGCAGAATGGCTGAATCAAGCTCCTCAGGACGATTCGTTGCACCAATCACCAGTAAACGATCGTCTTTTGACGATAGCATACCATCCATTTGAATTAAAAATTCCGTTTTCATACGCCTTGAAACCTGAAATTTAACAGCTATTTCAAAGATTTTAAATTGAAAATGATAAGCGCGAGGAAATAAATCCAGAGACAGAAATCCAGGATGTCACATTCTGGTCCAATATGAAAAAAGACCCAGATTGATGCATCTAAAGCTTAGAGTAATTATTAATGAAATATTCTGAACAAACCTCAGTTTCTTTTTCACTGCGTTCACACAGAATAGAGTCAATTTCATCGATGAATATGATTGTTGGCTGCCCATTACGAGCAATTTGAAATAGGGCACGAACAATTTTTTCAGCATCACCAACCCATTTCGAAGTTAGCGAAGCTGCCGAAATATTCAAGAACATTGTTGAACTGCATTCTGAAGCTACAGCACGAGCCTAAAATTTGAAGACCTATCAAACCAAAAAATTTCAGAAATTCCATATACATTACAACATACTGAAAAATGTAACGTATACAGAATGACCGGTCGTGGGATATTCTATAGTTTCTAAATTTTAGAGAAAAAAAACTAAAACTATATCAGAAAAAAAATATACAAGTAATGTTTTGCCGTTTCCTGGTGGACCAAATAGCAAAATTCCCTGCGCAGGTTGACGAAGACCAGAAAATAAGGATGGATTAACAGTTGGAAGAATAACTGTTTCTTCTAAGGCCCGTTTGGCTGCTTCGGCACCTACAATATCGCTCATCCTTACGTCATCTTGATTCAAAATTTCATTCAGTAATGGTCCACCAAATTTGTCATCGACACCCTTTAGGAGATTGTTCTGAGTACGACCATTCTGTAAAACAGTAAATTTGAATGAAGAAAACATTCTCAACACGAACACCTCAAATGAGATGAGAGATTACAATAAAAACAGCAACGGGATAAAAACGGAAGAAATACTCCATGAAATTTGTCTTCAATAAAAAGCAAAATCCATCATTAACATTGGCAGTTTTATAACCCATCTTTCCTCACTTTCTAAAAGAACGCTCTATATATGAAACAACCATAGTCATTTAAACAACACAACAGATACCCAATGTAACAAACTATATCACTTATTTCCTGCCTATTCCTTCCTTATTACAAGATAAATCTTCCACATTTTGATTAAATTAGAGGGATATTCTAATATTTAATAAAATCCAAAATTAAATTGTACTGAAGTATACTATTCATCTCCCCTATCCAATTCTCCCTCCTCTATTCTTCAGTTCGTAGGAATTTTTTCCAAACAACAACTCACCAAATGATTGTTCTTTTTTTCAGAAGTGATATGCCTATCGGATGGTTGGACCACTTGCGGCTTGCTAACTGAAGGTGGAACAAACTGAACAGGCCTACGCTGCAAATTTCGATTCCCTGTCGATGGAAACATTTTTTCTAAACGAGAAAAATGAATTTTCGATTATCAACAGAATTATATGCGCTTGCAGCGAAACACACACCATTGAATTAAATTTTTAAACTTCAAAACAGTGGATTATATTTAAATGCAGTAAACCGTTTAAAAACAGGAGGATAAAAATCACTCAGTACTATCGACAAGGTTTAGAGCTAATTTGAAAGAAGAAAAGTAAATAGTCTCTGCCAAACCTAAAAAAGAAATTCGGCATAAAGCAGCCTAAAACTCATAAACTACTTGATAACAGTATTTAAGCCTACCCAGGTCACTGAGTCTTCCCTTTGTCGCTTCTAAATTTCGTTTCATTGCTTCACGATGTTTCTCAACTTCACCTCGTTTCTCGGGACGTACTCTATTTGGTGATATTTTCAAAGCCTTTTCAAAATATTCGATGCCCATACGGTATTTCTCCATTGCTGACCGTTTTTTTTGTTCGTCTGAAAGGATTTAAATTCAAATTTATTCTATTTAGAAGAAGCTTGAATACTGAATCACCATATAAATGGTGAAATGTCTATAAGATGATTTTTTACAGACAATTAATTACTTTATACTTATGTGACCTAGATAAAAATAAAATTCGAACGTTGTTTCTTATTTCCAAGCTAAAGAATAAGTCGTTGACTACATACAAAAATGCCTAATCACAACCTGTCTTTAGACTACACATTGTAACAGAACGTTTAAAAAAGAAAATTGCAGTTTTGGAAATAAATAATAGCTGAAACCAAATATGGATGATATAACAACATGCAAATTTCTTACCATCATTCCTCGACATTTCATCTATTGAAACACCTTCCGTTATAAGTTGTTTTGACTTAATATATGCCTTATTAAATGTTTCGTAATTTTGTTGCTCCAGTTTCTGAGACTGAAGCATTTTTCCTAAAACAATTGTGAAAAACCTTCTAGGAAAAATGCTTGACTGCAATATTGATAAACATCTCTAAAAAATAAAAGCGTATGTTAACAAGTACGAATATTTCAAAAGAAAACGACGCCAAGCAATTTTGCGAAGTATTATTCAAAATATTTGTTCTTCCAAATGAATCACTTATATTTTATTCGAAAAATTTTAAACTCTCAACAAGAGAACGCTTCAGATAATTAAAGGAAGAGATCATAAAAATGATTTAAATGAGATGAGATCGCAGATTTTCTCGGGAGAGAAAATTTCTTTGCCGAAGGATTCAGTAATACAAACCGTTATTTTACACATCCCTTTTATATTCGTCCACCATATTTCTCCTTCAATCATACTGTCACACGACAGTAAAGACAAAAGACACAACCGAATGGGTCACTAGTTTCCCAGTAAGTACTAATTTGCATTTCCTCTCTACTACTTATATGTCTTATTAATCTTTCATCATCTATCCAAGTAAGTTAAGCTTCCGAAAAAAGGATAGACGATACACTAGACAATGCCGAAACAAAAGCTCTCTGGCAATTATTGAGCTAGGAATAAAATTGCATCATTTTCTGAACTGGATATGCCATTAGTTGCAGCCAGCATTAAAAATAATCGATAATCATGCAAGTACCTTCAACTTCGTTATTCGTGACAACAAATAAGCCTCAACCGTTTTCTACGGCAACAATCGACACAAAGGACTTTTTCGCTACATTTCAATAAGTTTAACTTAAAAGCTTCCAAAATCCCGTACAAAACATTTCAACTTCGCCAAATGTAAATTAGTTTCCTGCTTACTGTGATCGCTGAAGTGAATAATGAGCATGAAGTGACTGAAAGTGGCAGAGAGGGAAAGGGAAATCTCTTATTCCAAAATGAAAAGACTGTAAATACTTTCTATAGCTACAATGACCTTATATAACTGTTATAGTTAACGTATCTGCTGCATAATGAATATATACTGTACCTCTTACAACAGCTGCTGTTGGTTAAAGCATTTATAATCTTTTCTTTTTGCAATATTATTTTAGCTCCTTATCAGAAGACCACTGAATAAAGCAATTGCATTCTACTTGGGGATTCAGTTAACACAACGCTTTTTCAATCGTACCTTACAATTTTTTGAAACGATGTGAAACATATAGTTATAAATGAATGCAATATAACAATGTAAGTATATATAAATAAAACAATAAAACAAAACCGAAGTTACCATAACCATAAGTGATGCATGAAAATTTTGTGACACATGAAAACAGAATATATGATTTGGCTTGAGCAAAAATAATTCGATGCTAATAGAGCTGCTCTCCGGAAATGAATGATTGTAGGACCTCCTCATAATAGTTCAAATTCACACCATTTTTACTTATGAAAAGAGGCAATTTTTCACAGACATTACTGCAAAAATTTGATCCTGACGGTATTTCTTGATAGAAAGATGAAACAGCTCTTATTATAATTGAAAATTCCTCTATTTCCACATATTTAATACACTTAAAGTTTACTTAACTGCTAAGAACACAATGAAATCGGAAATGCAGGTCGTACGGCCAAACGCGTAATAAAAACCGGAAACGTGTGCATTCTTTGCTGTGCAGTACAAAGTGTGCAAAGAATGCACACTTTCTGTTGCAAAGAATACAGCAAAACCGGAAATGTTCCAAGCATATCCGACTGAAATTTATTTCATACTACCAAGAGTATACGTAGCATAAATGTAAGGACTTACTTTTTTTATTGGCGTCAACAGCATCAAATATTTTACGCTTTCCAAGATTTATCGTTCTATCGTCCATATTCTACAATTCCTGAACAAATCAGTCAATCATTCATGCAACCCAGAAAAGCGAGTTAGTAATCAGTCTTAATTAAATAATTAGTGCAATGAAGTACTTTATTACCAAGTATCAAATAACTAAAGTAATGCAATTTCCATCATCTAAATTTCTAATCTCACTGGTTACAGCAAAACTTGCAATTTATTCTGACCCAACATTGTTAACATTTCCTTTGCCTTCAGAATTTCCAAAAATTGCATCCGTTGCACAGAGCCCTTCTGCAACGCACCGCCGGAAAAAACACAATGCTCAGTTTCTGGATTTATCGAGCAGGTCTTTTCCTCATTACCAAAATCTCATTCTCCCGCTCCGTCACTGATTAATTTCCTGACATTTCCGTAAAGCTATCATAAAAAATTGTGCATTAATTTGGTATTGATTGATATTGATTCATTCTCGAGTTTATCCACTGATTACAGGATTTACTGGTTCATTTCCGAAGTATCAGATATTATATAGTAATATATGAAGTAGAGAGGTGCAGTAAATCCATTCTTTTTTTTGATTTAAGAAATGGGAAAATTAACCACACCTTTATATCACAATAATAATGACAATGAAAACAAATAAAAGGGAAAAAGGATAAATAGTTGGAAGGCACGGATGCAATAATCTAAGTAGCACCATAATTATAATAAAATTCATATAATTAAATTTGCTTTTTCGTAATTTTAATTTGAATCTTAATTTGACAACTCTCCTATGTAACTTCTTTCCAAAAGAGAAAAGCATATTGGTGGAAGAAAATATATGTGAGCCAGTTAATTAATTAATCAATAAGTTCATCTGTTGCTTTATAATGATTACATACAATATAATTCGATCAAATTTAAATACAGCCTGCTGCTATTGGAAGGCATTTTTGAATTCAAATGTATTATGACAACAAGGCAAAATAATAACTGCCATTCTCAACAAATAACATCTTAAAAATACATTTCATTCATCAAAATATCACTATAAAAAATCGATAATAAAACGAATAAAAAAAAAAATATTTGTTATTTTATTTGTTTGAAATTTTCTGAGTTATTGTTATGAATACAATAAGGCTGCTAATTATGAATACAATAAGGCTGCTATTATAAATACAACAAAATAACAATTATCAAATGACTAACTAATATAATATTACATATATAAAGGCTAAACATAAATATATAATATCATATCATTAAACTGTTATGCCGCCTACTTTCATCATTATTTACTCGTACAAAAAGAAACATGGGTGATAGTAACGTATCCATTGATAAGATATCTTAAATCTTCATATTATCTTAATTCTCTCTTCTATTATTTTTATTCTTATCAATTTCATTCTGAATACATTACTTATCAAATCATCATATTATTTACATTGCAAGTAATAAAAAAGACACATAAAATTAACAGTAATTTGAATTTGAGCTGTAAATTTTATACTTATTTGTCCAATTGGATAACATTATTAAAGTAAAATTATGATTTCAATCTATCAAAGCAAAATTATAGTTGTATTCTTCATAAAAATATAACTATAATTTATCATGAATTGTCATTATTTGTAAGGAAGGATAAAACAAAAAACAATAAAACGATAATTAATGTTTCTCCATACTGAGATAATTCATCTTCATTGTTGTTATATGTAGCAATCCAAAACATATACAAATGAAAAGCAATGACAACTTTACATATCATTTATGAACTGGTATGTTGGAAATAATATTCATTTGCTTCAGGTGGAAGTTTCCATCCACTTGCTCCCAGTTCCATCAATAAAAGAATCATTTTACGTGCCCAAGGTTCTTGTACCTGTAATATGGTTACATGAACAATAAAATTACTGCAACAAAAAAAAATTAAAAATATCTTCTTATATGAAACTATCATAATAATTGCATTAGCTTAATGAATGTTTGAATACCTTAAATGCATTAATGAAAAATATCCTCAAGTTAATCATTTCTCGAATCATTATAGTTATTAATTTCAATTCCCTCTAATAGCTTTGAAAAATAATATTAATGAATTAATTATTATAAATATCATTAGATAAAATTGAACAGATATACCTCGATAAAAGCATCTCGAATGAGATCTTTCAAAACGGCTAATTGTTCAGGACATTGTCGTTCGAGGTCATAACCAACGCTGAGCAAACAACCAATCAAACTTTCCAACTATAAAAATAAATTATTAGTTGCAGCAATTAGTAATCACTCAATTAGCAATCATTTCCTTAAATTCCTTAAATTCTGTTTAATTTTAAATACAACATTTTGCTTTCTATGCATCCATTCAAAGTTATATTAAAACTTTTTTTGAACTTAGTTTAAAAGAAAATCCACTTCTTCATCTAAACATTCTATTAAACAGTCAACTTGTAAAGCTTATCGCATATTTGTCTAACTATAACCTTTCAAAAACAAGTAAACTTCTTTCATATGAAATCAGATATAATTAGCCACAAATCTAAAAAGTAAATTTGCTTTTTAGGATTATTGAACTCTGATCTCTATTCTCAATTTCGATCCAATGACTTTCAATTCTCTTCGCTTGAATATCATCAATTTCTTTTTTGTTTATTTCAAAAAACAAACAAGTAGGAATCAAGAGAAAGCAATTCTTCCTCCATTACTTAATTAAGGTATGAAACTTCAATTAGCATAATTTTTCCAGGTAATACAATTTTTCATTTCTTTTTTACTTTCCTTTCATATTACATCAAATAATATATTTAAACTAGGTTTTAGCAAATGGGTTTTAATTTTGAAATTAATAAAATTTCCGTGGAAAACAAAAACAACTAAAAAAGATATATATAAATACCTCTTCAATTTTTAATGTATCGAGAATAGGTGCTTTGAGCAAATAGCCGAAAATGCGAAAAACAAGATCGACAAGTTCTCCTACAAAGAATATTATCAAAATACTAAAATAATTACAATTAGAAATAAATGGCAATAAAAAATAATTCAAATTTTTGATTGAAATCAATTCTCAAATTATTTGTAATTTTAAATTTCAGTGGCGAAGAGCCATTGTATATATAACAAATTTATGAGAAGAAAGAAGAAAAGATCTTTAATTAATTTAAATGATATTATTTTCAATTTCTTATTGCCTTTCTAATTTTCTGTTTTAAATTACTCGCAAAAATTGTTCGAATGAGTTAAATGTTACAAATTTTTTGAATAGAAGAATAAGATAAAGTAAGTTATTACAATAGAAGAATAGATAATAAGATAAAGTAAGTTATTTGCAAAATTTTTGAAACCAATGAATTAATAAGATAAATAAGTTATAACACTGATAAACTGATAAGTTAACTTTTAGTTAATGAATGGAAAAAAAAAGATGAAATTTTCGAAGAAAATAAAATTCTTTGTTAAGCAATGATAATTTAATTCATTGATTTCAAAAATTTTGCGAAATTTTCAACAAAAAATTAAAGAAGAAAGAAATTATTGGATCGAACATAAAAATAAATATTTTTTCAATTTTGTTAATTATTTTAATTTATTAAAATAAAAGCATATACATTAAGCATATATGCAATATTTGCTATTCATTTCACTTTTTTTAAACATAAATATAAATTTATTTTAATTAAAGAATAAAAAATGAAATAGACCTTCATAAATGTAGCCAACACTAGCATATAAATCGGAAACAAAATTGAGGAAAGTAATCCAAACCCGAAAATGATCGATACGTAAACGATCCCTGCATTCAAAGTAATGCATTAATGCAACTGCAATACCCTGGAAATTTTTCTTTTTAATAATTTTAATAATTTTTAAACATTCTAGTAAATTTTAAAGATAATAGTCGGAAATTTAATAAAGCATATATATATAATGTTATCCATGCATAATATATAAATTATGAATATATGAAACAAAAAGAAATTAGTGAGTGATAATATAAAGAATTGAAATAAATTTCGTTTGATTTGATTTAAAAAAATTAAATATGAATTTTGTTAGCAAAAAATAATGCATGAAAACCTGAAGGAAGTAACTGATCATAAAATGATAACAATTCATTTCTATTTTTAGTAGGAATTAAATAATGTGAAATTTAAAACGACTTGATAACATATCATACTGTATGTTTCAAATTTTGAAATAACATAATTTGTATGTTTTAATATCTTAAATTTTAAATGACTGCAATATTTTGTTTTTCAAAATTTACAAAAAGATAAATATTTTTAGCAAATTCATTAAAATTAAGTTAATTTATTAAGAGGAAAATCAAAGAAAAAAAGGAACCGGGAATAATTTCTGATATCTAAAATAAATTTCTGACCTGATAAAAAACACTTGCGGTATCAAAATTGAGGAGTTGTGCAGCGATACGAGCTACAATTTTGCCGGCTTGCCGATTCTCTTCGATAGAGAAATGTACGAGCATCTGTCCTACCGCACCTCCTACTTCATCATCTTCAAAATTACCTTAAAAAAAGCTAAAATTGAAGAATACATAATTATCCATAATTAGCAATAATAATTACTTGAAACATAAATTAATAAAAAAATTAAATTAATTAATTAATAAAAATGGATAATTTATTAAATTCGTGTCATTATGATGACAAATATAAATTCTATAGTTTTCATGATAACCTTATATAACGTATGTAAGTATTAGCGTAATCACTGATGTGTTTCGTTTCGTCTTACCACCATTCACTCTTAGAATGGTACAAATATACCTCTATTAAAAGTGATAATATTTAAATATATTTAATATAATATATTCAAAATGAAATAAAATAAATTCGTTTAATAAATATGAAAATATATTAAACTTTAATAATGCTAAAATCGAAAATATTTCGATTTAAACTTATTTTATTTATAAAATAAAAATAATAAAACTGAATTTGATTAATACTTATGAATACATTAAATAATAATTTTAATAACGATAAAATTCTAATTGCTTAGACAAATTTAACATTTGTAAAATAAAAGAAAAGAAATAGTAAATGATAACAATTAATTGTATTCTAAATTCATGGAACAATTAATATTAGAAATAATATAACTGTAATTATAGTAAATGTAAAGGAGTAAACTAGAATTATATTATTTATATATTAAATAATTGGTGAATTTAATTGACAAATTTAATTGATTTAACTAATTAGATGGTAAATAAATCGCTCTTAAATAAAATAAAAGAGAAATTGGAAAAGATTGAATAATAAAAATAAGAGAAGGAAAAATATTCTTACTTGTAATAAATTGTTCGATAAGAGAATTCTCCTTTGTTAAATTCAATTTTCTTAGGCCTGCAGCAAGCTCCTCAATTTCTTTCCCATTTAATTGCTTTTTTTTATTAGCATTTTGTTGTTGTTGTTGTTGTTCTTTGTAAATGATAACAGATTTACGTAATGGTGTACTACTAATTCCACTACCTGAATTGTCATTATTCCCACCTCCTGTTATTGTTGTTTCATGTTGCATACCACCAATGATGCCAACTGCACCCGCAGATCCGTCCATTTGAAGTAACGAAGATGCTGGTGAATTTGTTTTACCATTACTACTACTACTATTATTATTACCACTATTACCACCATCACTACCACTATAAACAGATTTCTTCAAGTGTTGCTTAAAAGGGGTTGCTTGAGATTGAGATTGATGATGATGATGATGATTATGATGATGATGATATTGTGATTGCTGTTGTTGTTGTTGTTGTTGGTGATTATGATGAATAGGAGATATAGTATCCCTTAGATGAAAATTCCGACTTGATGTCGAATTCGGTGATTTAGTCGATGCCTGAATACATAAAAATACTAGGAAAGAAAAAAATCCAAGTAATTATTAGAAATAATTTTCTTTTCTCTTCTTTATTAAATCAATTAAACTTTGTAATTACATTCCAGATGCTTGCAGCTATTGTGACTTATTCTCTTTCCCGGTTACCACCGTTTGACTAATTAAAAAAATCCATTTTTAAATCATCAAATAAAAGCCGATAAGTTATCCAAACTCTAATTTTATGAATGATATATAGTAATGAATAATTGATATATAGTAATGAATAATAACAGATATATAAATGAACTTTATAAATTCTGTGAAATTGAAAATTAAATATATCAATTATATTTTACCTGTGATGATGCTATCGATTCATTACTTAAAGCGCTATCGGTACGCTGTAATGATATTGCTTGTGCTCCTCCTGTAACCGCTATATCGTTTAATAAATTACTACCATCAGCACTTTTGCGCGTACATCCATTCAATGTATTCGCACATTTGCCTGATTCCATTGTATTATGATTATTATTTTCTGAAACATAAATACAATTGTAATAACGATAATAAAATATTATCGTGATTATAATTAGCATGATAAGATAATGAGTTATAACGGCGCCATATGTTTTACAAAATAAATATATGTCTGTTATCGTGAGTATAATTCAGAAATACAATGATACTGAATCTTAAGATAAGGAAGATGAAGATTATTGATGACAGTTTCGTTTATTTAATTTTTAGTTTTTTTATCTCTTTTTACAGAGGTTTCTTTTCCTTTTTTCTTTTCAGAGAGATTTCTGTTTCGTTTATCTGATTAAATGATCAATATTTCATTGATTTTTGAACTTCTTTATTGATATCTTATTTGATAACAGTGATATTCTAAAATTTCCGATGCAAAACATCGGTTTGAAATGTGGATAATTAATTTCATTCAATCACAATAATTAACAATTAATAATTAACAGTGATGATAATGATAAATGTGTTGATAATTAGGAGGAAAATATGACAATAATAATAGAAACAAAACTTTACTAAAATAATTTTATCTTATAGTATCATCAGTGATATAACTTTCAATTTTGAATAGTTTCTTTGCAAAAAGTAAGAAAAAAAGAAAATTTATCATAACATAAATGTTGTGATGAAAACTTATATAAATAATGAAATGCTTACGAAAAACAAACAAACAATCAAACGATATTCAGTAAATAACAATGAATATAATATCGTTCAAAAAAGAAAAATTCAATTTTCATCAGTAATTAATTCCAATAGCAAATTCAAACAATTTATAAATTGAATCTCGTTTTTATGCAAATTCAGAAGATCGAAATAATTCACTAATTAAAATTGTCATTGGAATTTAACATACCCTCACTCTGCTTTTTAACAGTATCTTTTTTCAACTGCTTTGCACCGGCAGTTTGATTCGGTTTCGTATTCGTTGAATTTTCGTCATTACCTCTGAGTCCTGCAAGCGTAATTATTTCATTCCTTTTTATTTTATTCATACCATTTTGGAATATAATTTAAAATTATCAAAGAATTCTTGACTTTATGACGGAATAAGTAAAAACTATCGGCTATTATCATTGTGCAGTTTGTATTATAGTATTAGTATTGAATAAAAGAATAAAAAGAATTAACAATAACTAATTATTGGAAATTGAATTCAATTAATTTATTCACTGAAACTTAGTTCGCAAACGGTATTTTAATGTGGATTTTCCAATTATTTTTACCGCTAATGAATGAATTTTATTTGTCCTTAATTTTATATACTCTAACATTTGGAAATTGTTAAAACAATAAATAGTCTCATTACAGGTATACTTTCGTCCTTTTCTTTTTAATTTTGACAACCTAATAGTTATTTTCAATTCAAATTCAATTTCGAATATTTCGTTATTTCTTCATTTGCAACTTTTCCTTATATTTCAAAAGTTCAATTTTTTATTATTAATCTTTTCCTTACGATTTTGCCATATTTTCAACAAATCGATAATTTATAATTTTTATTATAGCTCTATAAGTTATCTATATGATGCGTCATAAGATGAATCATTGCTGAGAGATGGAAAATAAGCACTTAAATAATAATTAAAGTATTAAATTTAATTCTATAAAGATGTACTTTTCAAATTTTTTGCTTTTCTATCGCTTTTTTTTACTTGGAATGTGTGATATTGACAATATTTGCGAACTACGGTTCATTAACAAATATAAAAGGATTTCAAATTAGCGGTAAATATGTGTGTGTGTGTGTGTGTGTGTGTGTGTGTGTGTGTGTGTGTGCCTGTGTGTGTACACATATGTAGTAGTTTTGCCAGCTTTTATAGGGTACCAGTTGGTGTCAGTGTTGTATAAAACAATTATATCACAAAATATAGGACGAAAAACGGAACAATATTAAATATAATTTTTAACTAAAAATTGTCAGATTCTTAAAGGACAATGAAACAACAAATAATTTTTAAATTTTCAAGGTGAGAAGACATTTAGTTAATAAACAATAATTACCCAATAATGCTGAAATCAATTTTAAATTGTATTTTAATAAAAGTGAAAAAAAAAACTTTTCCTTTTCATAGCATATTACTTTTATATAATTTAATGCTAAATTAAGCGTAACTTAGAAATTAAACTGCATCTTTTGTTTTAAATGAAATACAAACATATATTATAGAATATGCTATGTTAATATATTCTATATTATATAATACATATAAAAGTACTAAACTTTGAAAATTTTATCTAGTAGTTAAATTTACTAATTGGAATATCTGTTAGTTAAGTTTACTGATTTCATATAATCAGATAATTAATAATACCAATGTAATTGTGGGAAATGAATGAGAAAAGATTAAATCAAAAAGAGGATACATTAGGATCATGTCAATAGTATTATCAAAATGATATGATAAGATTCATATTCCTTAGGAAAAAAATTATTTTTTATAGTTTTACTATTTATGGTTTATTGGTCGCATTTCATTAGTACAGTTATCAATGAAATTTACTAACACATCATGTCTGATCGCATGTCAATGTCCGAAAGTCGGTCTTAAATCCAATATATGATTAAAGATTCAAAGATTCATCTAAGTTTCAATTTTTTCCTTCAAATTTCGAAAATCAAGAAATATCTAATTAGGAAACAAAGGTGAGAAAATTTCGTATTTTAATTAATTTAATTGAAATGGCCAATTTTCATCGTTCATTGCTGAAATTGTATTAATAACAATTCTTTCAAAATATGCTTATATCTAATTTCCATCACTTTCTGGTTGAGATTCATATTAAATTTCAAGACCAATTCAAAATTTATAAAATATGAAATAATGAATTTCAAATTTTGCATTTGTATATGACCAAGGTATACTTATCAGTAGTCGAAGTATCATCTTTCGCTTAATCATTTATACAAAATATGAAATGAGGAAATAGTAAGGGTTCGAATTTTGAACGATAACACCGAAATTATCATCTGTTTAATAAAATGTTTATGAAAATATGATAGATTTAAGGAACTGTAAATGAATCTTCAAGAATTTGCGGAATTTACTCTTATCTCTAACATATGTGCTATAATTGTAATCTTAACATTTAAAATTCCAAAAATTAAAATTTGATTATTCCACTTCCACAGACATACATGAACATACGTTACGGTATATTTGATAATTTCAAAAAAATTCAAAAACAGAAATTCTTTCTATAATATTTGAAGAAATTTAAAATTCTCATTTCTACAAATACATTTTCCTTAAACTATTTATTCATTAAAAAAATTCTTTTCATCCTATAAAAACAAAAAAAAAAATAGAATAAATAAAATATTAAAAGAAATTTACCAGGAGGACGATAAATCTGTAGTGCGGGTCGGGTTGAGGGTCTCTTGGAACGGCGTTCAGAAGGTATTATTGCTCCTGCTGTAGTTACGGTTATGTTACTTGTCATTACTTTATCGCATAAATTTTTTTTTCTTCCTTTTTTTCAATCTTCCTAATTTCCACCAGCCTTCCGCCCTGAAATATAAACCAAAATTATTTCAAAAATTCATTAATTAATACTAATCGTTGCTTTTTCGAAATAACCAATTAAAATTATCGCAAAAGATAATAAACGGAAGACAATATTGTATATATGTTGCCGGAGCAGGCATTACTCCAACGGTTAAATCTATTCAAACAGAAAAACTGGAAATCATTCCTCTCTTCATTTTTCCTCCTCCTCCTCCTCCTCCTCCTTCTCCTCCGCCTCCTCCTCCTCCTCTTCTTCCACGTTTTTCATTCTCTTTAAGAAGTGTTCCTTTTAAATATAATTTACAGCTTAAATTCAAGTCCCTCTACACTTACATATTTTCGGTAAAACGAAATTTGATCATACCAAAATTTTTCCGTTTCAAATCTATACTATTGTCTATGTCTATACTTGTTTCTTTTTTACTAATAGCAACAAATGGACATCCACTTGTATTCTCTGTTTCATTTTCAGTTATTTTTATCAATAATAATCATTATAATATCATTTATCATTATCATTATTATCATTGTTAGCAGTTGGATACAATAACAACGACATTGAAATAACGAAATAAAGGGAAAAAAAAAGAGTGAGAGAGGAAAAAAGTTGAATGATATGATCGATGGGAAAGAATAATGCATAATGTGGCAATGACCTTAAGAAAACAGAAATCGTTTGATTGAAATTCGAAAATATGCAAATTATTGGAAAAGTGGCATTAAAAAAAAAGGGATAGAAATCAGCAATTTGATACTAATCGTTCCTATTTTTTACAGATAGAAACGACCATATTTATAACTGTCTTTCGTATCATTTCATTTATCAGTGAATCATCTTTTTGACATTTTTAGAAGATAAATTAGATAAAATTGATTATAATAAACGATAAGAAGAGAATTTGATATGCTAAGAAATTTTATGAAAAATAAAATTTATCATAACAAAAAATTTTTTGTAAAACAAACATCTGTCACATTAGGGAATTTAAAGGGAATGAGAAAAAGAAAGAAAGAAATAGAAATTAAATCTAACAATTTAAAATAAGCATAAGATTAACTATAGTAATCTAAAATCAATACAACTTCTTACATCAAAATATGCAATGAAGTAAAAATTAAAAGTGATTTTTCAATACATAATAATATAAATATAATCTGAAATAAATCTTTTTAGAATTTTATTTTGACTGAATAGTATAATTATAAAATTTAACAATAATAATATTATTATTATACTTTTTTTTTTGTTTCATATAAATATTCCATCAAAAATATTTATTCACAAAATTTTAAAATCTTTACCGTAAATTTGTTTTTAGAAAAAAATACGGTTTTACAGTATCATTTTTGTTAAACGATAAGAAATGAAATATTTCAAATTAATTTTCACTTAACATATCCACTTAAAAGAGAACTCATCGGTTGGTAACATAGGAAAGGATTGTTTACCAAAAGAAAAACTGTTGTTAATATGAATCAAAAAAAAAGGACGAATACTTTTTGCTTGTACTGTAACTTTTCAATCATATCAAAACGAAAATCTTCACATATTGAAATTTCAAAACTACAAAAAAAGTGTCGCAGGTTGGCAAGAAGGAAAAGAAAGAAAGAAAAGATAAAGAAAAGGGTGCTAATAAAGGAAAATTTAGAAAAATAATTAAAATGATACTAATTTAATATCAATCCTTTCTAATATTTCAAATTACCTTCTGCTTATGAAAAATAATGATAAATAATAATATCAATTATTAACAGCAACAACAATATCATAAACATCAACCATTAAACAATAACAACAGCAACAATTACAGTAATAGTAACAACTATAATAACAACGACGATAACAATAATAACAACAGTAATAATAACAATAATATGTAATATAGTAATTAATAACAAATAATAATAATAATAGTTAGTAATAAATAGTAATAGTAATGATTAATAATAAATAATAATAATAATAATAATTAATATAAGTAATAATAAATAATAATTAACAATAATAATACTAATAATGAATGACAATAATAACAACATTAATAATAGCAATAATAATAATGACGGCAATCAATAATAAGAAACTGTTGTTTTTAATTATAATTAGAAATTTTTTTTGTTTAAAAAAAGTGTAAAAATCATGATGTAAAGTAATATGTAAGAAGAAGGAAGAAAATAGGGAGAGGTATGAAATTCAGTGATAAAAAGATTATGGTATATGTTATCATCTATGGATAATAATAATTATGATATTAATAGTAATGGTAATAACGACAATAACAATAATAGTAAGATAATAATTTTGAAAAAAAATCACAAAATGATGACGACTAAACAATGTTACTACTGTCATCATCATTGCTATCATCATAATCATCACCATTGCATTTATAATCAGTGCCAAAATTATCAATCAATATCATTTTGATATTTGGTGCTTTGCTTTTCTCTCAATATCATCACTTCCATTTGTAATAGTATTAAGA